AACTTCTCGCGACCGAGGCCGAGGCGCAATCGACAGCGCAAAAGAAGAAAGTGGCGACGACAACACGAGAGAAGGCGAGTGACTCTTTTGCAGACTCTTGGCTGGAGCATGTCATCAAGCCCAGCGAGTTGGGCACATCTAGGTCCTTGCCGCCATTCAAAGGCTCATGACCTGGACAACAAAGCAACCGACCTTGGGTCAAGGCGATTGCCTACCGCGGTCGAGGCGCAATCGACAGCGCAAAGGAAGAAAACGAGGACGACGACGACGACGACGACACGAGGCAGGGCAACTGGCACAGGGCGAGGGGCCACGACCACGAGCAAAAAGGAGGAGTTGTCACCAAGGAGAAGGCCGCGCTGGCAGCGCACATAATCAACGTCGCCCTCAAGTCCCTGACCGAGGCGTGCGGGCCTGCACGACTTGCAGTTAGAATCAGCGCTGGTGTAATATGGTTGTGGAGGGGAGAGATTCCGTCAGGAGGAAGGATACTGTCATCTCATCTTGTTGGTTGCTGGGTTTTGTTGATCCAAGCGCTATGTGTGAATGAAATGAAATTGGTGTTCCTGCCTACCACTGCCATGCCCATGAGTGAGTTGGTGCCTGGTGATGGGGTCATTGTTTATCGCTTATCAGATTAGAGATGTTAAGCCAGAGGCGGCTACAGCGCACCGGCACTTCACGGGCACCATACCTTCTTTGAGCTGCGAATGTCCATCTCGGTCTCCCCCCGCTGGTGCAAGGTAGGTACCTTCCAGTGGCCATTACGAATCATGGCAATCACTCACAGGCGTCAAGTATCTGTCCAGGATGTTCCTGCCCATGATACCTTGCGCTGGTATGGGCCATTATTTTTGACACCGAGCTTGTTGCACCTGGTCACCTGAGGTGCCTTGTGAAGAAGTCCATGTTCCTGTTCTACCTTAAGGCAGGTCTGGCGCATGCTGCTGCTCTGTGGCGCTGTTGGAGCTCGCCAACTTCTTGCACAAGTGGCAATCGTGGCAGTCGTAGCTACCTTCATCTAAGGTACCTGAAGGTATTGGAACATGGACGGCAGGAAAGAGGCTTTTGGTAAGGTGCCCGGTCTGGGTCGCGTCAAACGGCCCTTCCACCCACCCACCTACTTCCACTTTTCGCCCAGTCACGTCGACAAGGCCTCTTTCCACGCCTCGTTTACTACACAGTCCAATCAATCCCAGATTATTAAGCTTCGCACCCGCGGAGCGGCCTTGACCGGCTGGCATGTACCTCATACCATCAGTCGTCAGTGCTGGGATTCGCACAACTTCGCATGGCCAGGGTACTCATCAGAAGAGCAAGGTGCGTCAACATTTGGATGGAGAGGCCCACTGGCAGGATCACGACTGGCTCTGTGCCTTCGAATTCGGAAGAACCCCACTTGACGATTCCCCAGCTTTGCCCACCTTGGCACCGAGACTGCTCGCCCCCTTCGACGCTCGGATAATGGCCCAGGGGCAGCTCATGAAGGTGCTGTCAATACCAAGAGCAGGCCATGCATCGGCGACCCTCCGGGTATAGCCACCAAAACCGCCCGCCCCCTTCGACACTCGAATGATGCGGAAGCCAGACGCAAGCTACGAGAGATAATTCCACGGTGCGAGATCTTTCTTCGACCAGAAACCCGCCACAGAAGAGCCACGTCGACAAGCCCTCCTTTATCGTCCTTCACACTTTATTTCCACCACCTACTCGCAGCAGTCAAAAGGCCATTCAGGTACGCCAAATGACGTCCGTCCACCGGGAAACCACTGACAAATCCTCCTCCTCCTCCAGCATTCCCGATACGCTTTCCTCCGTCAGAATCCGACTTCGACGGAGAACTGTCACTTGGACAGCTTCTTTTTTACCAAAGTGATCTCTCAACACCCAGTCTCCTCCTTCAGCCACTACGACGGCAAGCCTTCTCCGGTCACTTCGACGGCAAGTCACCCTCAGCCGTCTCGAAGGCAATTACAAAGGCCTAGCCACCTACGCGAGTGGCTGAAGTCGGAACATACTACAGGCGGCAAGTCAACCAGCGAACGTACACGACTCTCGGGCTTCGGCTTGGGAGACTACGAGGGACTGTAGACGAGAAGCGCGCTACTCGGCCAAGATCAGAGAGAACACCAGGACGGAGTAGGTCGTAAGATGCGTCAACATCTGGAGGGAGAGGCCAAGGTTCGTGTATATCTTCATGGTCGCGAATGACCGGCTGTCGGCGCTGTTCAGGCACAGGGATATCCTAATCTAAATGCCCACAGAGGCAATGATGGTGTCGTTCAGGACCTCTCATTCAAAACCGTGTCCACCAACATGCTCATGGTCGATCCTCTGCCTGCCTCTGTACCGTGCACCATTTGCCTGCCTGGCCTAGAGCTGCGTTGGAGCTTCTCGCCTTCAATCTTCAGCTATATATTGTCTGTCTCGGGTCTCGTGAACCTCGCCCCACGGCACTGTGGTTGTTGGAATTTGACGGCGGAAAAGGAGATTCCTAAGTTGTTTCGGCCGGTGTAAACGACCATTCCACCCCTTTACTCACACCCAACAGAGGAATCGTGGCTCTGCCCACCAACACCCTTCTTCCGTACCATGTACGTAGTCGGATACGATTTCTGGATTTCGTACCGGCCGAGAGACTTGCCCTGCTGACTTGTACAGCAACAGTAGTCGTCCTTAAAGCCTCGGGGGTTCGTAAGCAGAAGCTCGAACATCGCCTCCATATCCTGTCGCGTATGCCTTGTACAATCGTGTTCCCTTTCGTCAATGAGTTGCGGCAACAAAATTTCCGACGTGTTGACCATGCGACGCACCGAGGCGCAAAACATGGGCAATGAGGCTGTTGGTGCTCCTCATGATTCCACTGGCGACGGCCATTGCCCTTGTCGACATACGGGAGGAGGCTGAAGTCGAAGATGGACGTCACGACGCACGAGACTGTCTCGTCTAGGTTCCAGACGAGGTTGAAGATGGAGACGGGCCTTTCCAGGGCGAGGTCCACGCATTGAACTTCGTACGGGAACGGGGGACATGTAGTTTTGGGTGTCCCCTGAGGAGATTCCCGCCTGGTACCTGGCCTTGATGCACATCATCGAATGGAACACGAAGACGGGGCCGTACAGGCCATAACATCAGGACCCTGAGCTCAACATTGAACTTGACCTCGGCGAACAAGATCCTGGGGCGCGTAGCCATCCACCAGAATGTACATGCCCCTGCCCTTGGGTGCTTGCCGGCCTCTGTGGCTACGCTCCTGTGACCCCGTCTCCATTATCGGTCTCCTTCTCCTCTTGTCCGTCATAGTCATGTACAGACCAAGATCGTGGCGACGTTGTATACCTGGCGTACAATCCTTATCAACAAGCCCTCCATGTTATCCGTGTGGATCTTCCGGCCAAGGTTCATGTCGTCTACGAAGATGATTCCGAGAGGCGATCTATTGTTCGCGAAGAAGTCGAACGTCTGCCTGTTGTCGATCTTGGGGTCCTGTGTCGAGATCTTGTCCCTCTGAATGTCGGGCCGTGACGACGGGGCTGGCTCACGAGGCTGCGGGTAGCTTTGAAAGTCGCGGGATCACGAACTAAAGTAAGCAGTGTGGACATGAGCTCGGATATTTCAAAATTCATCTTCTTCGATAACAAGGCACAAACAGAAGAGGGATCATTACCGATCATGAACTTGGGCTGTTGCCAAAGGCTGACAGGGCGTGCACAGTGGTCTTTGTCATGACACGATGGCCTCACTTAACGCGAAGCCGTTTGGGGAAGTGGACCTGGCCCAAAGACATTGGAGGTGAGCAGTGCTCCAGTTGCCCGATCCAGCAGCCGCAGTGACTCTAACTGGATGGCAGGTTCGTAGGAGCAGGAGGAGGGAGTGGTCTGGGCGGCCAGCCACCTGCCGCCACACACAGCCACATTCCAAAATCTCCCAATATTTTGGGTGTTTTCTGCAAAATCTCCCAATCTCCAGCACAGGGCAGGAGGTTCCTCCGGCGTCCACCCGGCGCGCCTACCCCCCTAAAAAAGTAGGTACGTACTGACAAAGCCATAACTACATGACTGTGGCTGGAGGAATCCACTTTGCTCCTGCAGGGCAAAGCAGGATGGTTCCTAATGCGACTAGCGGAAAAGGAAAGTGAGATAGGTCGGGTACCTAGGTACTGTTTATGGGAAGGGACCTCTCTGATGGCAACCGCGAAGGCACGTGATTACGCGTTGTTCCCCTCTCTTCGGAAGATTTGGTCCGGGATTATCTCCAGCACGTTCCACTTCCCCCGCCTCGCCAAAGCGCGTCTTGGAGATTGACACGCGCGACGCAGACCGCCACGGTCAACTCCATGGGGCTGTTGGCGATGGCTCTTTCAAACTTCTTCCCATCGTGCAGCTCCGACTTCTTTATTATCTCCACGATCAACTCCATCAATGCCTCGACCGACTCGCACTTGCAGATCAGCAGCTCCAGCGTCTCGACCGACCCGATCCTCCGTACTTATGCTCCGCCTCCCAACTTCACTGTGTGCTCCAGACGCGACCTATTCACCGTACGCGTTATAGAAGCTTGATGTATTCAGGTGAGCCGCAGATGCCAGGACCCGCAGATGTCAGCTAATTCGCGTATCGTGAATGGCGACCGGGCAGTAGTACGGGCTGTCGTAGCTACCTGTGCGCTTGATCTCGCTGGATTAGACTGACGAGAGACATAGCGCACGGATGGACGCAGCAAGGCACAGACGAGCGCCATCACCAACACCTTTGACTCATGACTACCACATGTACGACATCAAGTGAACCACTATGTCAAGTGCGACGACTTGACTGCTAGATAATCGAGTTCTGCCCCGCGAATATGCCCAGAGTTGTCTTGTTATATTGCAAGATCTGCAACGACAAGGTCTTTGACCTATTCGAACCCCCCGAAAGACCTTAGCCCTCTGGCCTGCCACTCCGCGAGAAAGATGGCAAGACAATGGTAATGGGTCTGTCCGAACGCGTCTGCGAGAGTCATCTAGGTACGTCAAGGAAAGCCCCATCGAGAAGACAACCATCGGGGACTGCAACACCAAGCTCAAGCTCGACGAATTTAGGCCCGCGAAGCCTGTTATGGGAGATAAGCAAGCGAGCTACGAGGACGTCGAGACCAAACCTAGTGTCAGAGGCCACGACCCCAGCTTGACCGCCAAGCTGGAGGGTGTCCTCTTGGGCACGCTGATCTAGGGGACGGTCGAGGATCTGTACGACTGCACTTCGGACAAGACGACTCGCACAAGATGGCTCGGGCCACGCGGCTATGCGGAACAACGACAAGAAGGCCTTCCACAATGAAGAGTTGGACAGGACACTGCCCTCTGCAGCTACAAGGAGACCGACGTCTCCGACGACGACAACAGCAGCTGCGACTGTTGTGAAAGCTTCTCGAAGGCCAAGACCAAGCACAACTCGAACATGGACCTTCGTGCCTTCGACCTTGTGCATCAAGATGCCCCTGAACGACTGGAGGCTCGTCACGTCAACGACGTCGTTCTCCGTGTAAGTGACCTCGGATATGAAGTGGTCGATGTATTGACCCCGTCGTTTTGGACCTGGTCCCGTTGCACTGGGTGATTCTAGAACCGACTATCGTCACGTTCAGGGAGGTCGTCATGTCCGTGAACTCTGCCTCGCACGAGAACAAGGTGGGTCGGGGTCTGCGTGCACCCTCGGGTTGATCATTATATCCACTGACACGATGGTGCAGCTGCAGCTTTCCGGAGAGACGTTGGCCACGCATTGGTTCTTCAAGACGTCGCCAACCAACGTGTACTCGTGCGAGACGGCCGCAATCAACCCGGGTATGGATTCGCAGGTCACCTCGTTCTCAACGACGTTCTCGCTTTTGATCACGTTCTCGCTGATGCCTCTCGTCTTGACCTTGAACATTTGCCAGGAGCACCCTCTCGACGAAGCGCCTCGACATCACCTCCCCGAACAACCACGCACTTCATGCCATCCCAGGCGTTCCTCAACATTTCTTCTTTGCGGCTATGTGGCTGTGCGGCCTGCTTCCCGTACACGAACCTGTCCGCATTAGGTGACTCTTCTTCTTGAACAGCTACCTCCTCATTGAGCTGATAATGATTGACTAGATCACCGACTAGCCCGATATTTTGGTCGCGTAGATGATGATGAACGAGGAAGTGGCCCGCCTTGACACCCGTCGAAGTACGAAAAGGTGGTTCCCAAGCCGGGGGAGTATGCCGCCTTGCCGATTACCACTTTGTCGAGGTTCGCTAATGATCGTTAGGACTCTGCGGGGCAACTTCGACGACGGATCAAAGATGAAGAACAAGCAATACCTAGCGTAGAAGGACTACGTCTGCATCAGCAAGAATCAGGCATTGAGGATGAGGTTGCCTACGCTGGACATGGTCTCCAAGTCTGGATTATTGTGAATCATCGACACGGTGGTCCAGATCTCGTACACAAAGGCCGGTGAGTCGACAATGAAGGGCGTTGTTATCAAGCTGACCATGTCGAAGCACGAGTTCGGGAACAGCGTCACCTTGTGTAACCCTGTCCCAAGGCTCATCAAGTACAGGCCCAATACTCCGGAGATGTTCAGGCGCTCCTTCATGGCTTCGGTCGGCCACAAGAACATATCAACTATCCTGTACGACGTCGTGAGCATATCGATCGAGATGAGGAAGATCGTCTACAACTTCACAAAGGGCCAGGCGACCTCCGGAAGGAAGGTTCTTGTCTTCGCGGGGGTCCTGAGATCCCAGGAGCTCGGGAGCATTGATGTGAGGAACCTCCCGTACATGGTCGTCGACTCAAATATCAACACCTCAAGGCTGCTTGCACAAAAGACCGGGGTCAGGATCTTGAACTGCGACGCGAAACCCAGTATGTTGAAGCAGGTCAAGGCGGTCACGAGGTCGTTTGGCAACATCATGATCTTTGACGTCACGTTCCAGGATTTCTTGGTGTCAGAAGGCATCATGGAGTGTTTCATCTCGCGCAGGTTGCGCGTTACCTTTTCATTCAGCTTGTCGTGCTGCTAACAGGAGATCAATACCCTGATGTCGAAGAACGTCCCCCGTCTACGTAGCCGACCTCTTCCACAACGACATCGAGAACGGGATGCTGGGCACGAAACCGGTGGCTCAGTGGCTTGTGCCTCAAGGTCATCACCCTCGCTACACCGCAGTTGCACTTCATGGCCCTCACGTCCTCGTAGTCGTTCGGCAATCTTGATCTTCTTTCTCTTTCAGGACACACACGCGGACGGTTACTCAGCGTTACAGTCGGGTTCATCTTCGTGTGACAGCGTGGTCCGGGCATCCTCGTTCATGGCCCCCATCCTGAAGTCGATGACCCCGTCGAATGAATTCAGGTTCGCGTTTACCCCCCTGATATGTTCCCCAGTCTCCCGCATTAACTCATTGGTTGAGAAGAAGATATCCGGCCGGAACTTGTCCCTTATAACGGCGTCCTCGAGGTGCGGCATCTGCGACGTCAGAGGCGTGGAGCCAACCCTTAACGTAAGCCCATACCAGGTCGCCAACTTGTCCCCGATCTCGAGGTTCTTGTTGGAATTGACGGCAGAAGCAAACGGCCCTTCCACCCACTTCTATATCCCCAACCGGGGATTCGTGGGCTCTGCCCACTAGCCTGCTCTTTCCACGTCCCCATTACGAAGTTCGATACCACAGTTACCCTGCTGACATGTATTCAAACAGTTCTTCTTCCACACATGAACATAACCGCGTTCATCACCCCCGCTCCTGTTCACATACGTCCTCAGGACCAACTTGGCATCGTAGGCCTCCTCCACTCTTCCTATTCCATACCATGACCCTCTGAACAGACGCAAGGAGGGTAGGAGAAGTCGACCACGCCATACCACGAGACCTGCTCCGACGCAGCGATACTCATCGGAGATCACGCATACGTCCTTGACTTTTCTGCTGCACGACGCTCAACGGCATTGCCGCATCCTCCTCCAGGATAAAAGTTTTAGACCCCTTGGACTCGTGATGAGCCATGTTGCCCGGCAGCCATGTCATTTCCATGGGCCGACCGTGGCTATTCGTCAACACAGTATCGTCGCCCTTGGTCGGCAAGGTGCAAAGGGCGTGCTCCGTCATCCCCATATCCAAGCTGGTTTTTGGGTTTCACGGAGAACCGGCAGAATGGGATCGGCAGCGCGATTGGGGACGCCACCTGGCCCGGCTTCACGTCGTGGGTCGGGAAGAGTTCGTTCAGGTCTTCCTCCTTCGTGTTGCAGTGTTCAACGCACGTCGTGAAACTTCTTGCCGTCGGCCAAGAGCTTGATGGGCCTGCCCAGGACACCGCTGGACACCGAGATCACCAAGGCCTTTGCCTTCCCGACGACGTGCACAATCGGCATGTCGGGCTCGCAGTACATCGTCGACCTGTCGACGATTTTAGTGTGGTACATGTTGGACCCCAAGGGCATCTCCCGCGCCACCTGAGATTTTCCTCGACGCCATGACCCAGACGCACATTCCGGCCACGAACATGGAGTGTTGTCTTTGGAAACGGTCCAGGCCAGCCAGACAGACTTGCGCGATAGCTTGGCGGAGATAGTGGAGCCGCCAAAGATGTTGGCCTTGGACTGGACCACTTGGTCGAAACGCTTTTGTACTTCTCCAGCGTTGCAAGCCCCTCGGTCAGGGACATGTTCTTGTACTCATCCTACACAGGACGAAGCTGACGGTCCGGTCACCGCTGTCCACTATCGAGCAGTGATCGACTAAGGTATCGAGGCCAAGTCGGACGTCGCATAGATCTGACCGGGCGGGACTCGCTGCTGCCGTTCTCGGGGATGACCGAATCCATAGCTACAATGACTCTGCCGTCGTAGTACACAGGACTTGGTGACGACCAAGAGCTCCAAGTTCTTAGATCAAGGACTGTCCAAGCAGGACTCCATCGGTAGCTGCTCAATCATGACCACTTCGTCGTTGTACGTCATGTTGCTTGTCATATTGGCGTTCCAGGTGTCACACCAGTCAGTTTTCGCCCACCAACACAGCACGACGATAATGTAGAGGTCAACCTCGGACCTCGCTGGTCTAGGCCTGCTCGGTCTCGACTACGTCTGGGGTCTCATCTACCCTCCCGACCCCTCGGTTCTCGCGGCTATCTTCTTTCGCATATCATACACAGAAACCAGCTGCCTGACGTTATCCATGCCCACGGACACGAACATGGAGTCGATTGCCGACACTATCCTCTACGTCACCCATTTCTTGCGCATGTCAAACGAACATATCCTGAACCCGGCCTGACTCTTCTGCTGCTTCCAGCTGCCATCTACGTAGACGTGGTGCGGCTAGCCCGAGACCCTTGTCTTCGAAATGGTCCAGTCCATTTCCACAGACCCCTACTAAATGGTCTTGAAGATTGCCCTGACATCCCCAACAGTGTGTACGCCTCTTCGTTTGGGTCCGATCCATGTCTCCCCGTGAATGACCGACATCACTCTGCATGAGCTGCACTCCCTTTGCAATCTTAATCGAAAGCCCTTGGTGTCACACGTGTCGGCCCAGTTCACGTCCCTGTGCTTCTTTTTGGCCGAGATGATTGTAGTTCTCCGCGACACCCACCCCACCTCCGCGAAGATGGTCCCCTTTGTGCCCTTGACGACGGATTGCTTGATGAGATTGGCTGTATCCTTGCAGCTGTGCTCGGTCTCTTGTTCTACGTGGACGAGGATCCAGTCGATGTCGCCGCAGATGATGTTGAAGCCCAGCCTCCTGACGACCTTGGCCATGTTCCTCATGTAGTACCTGACAGTATGCGTAACAATCCCGGCGCACATTTTGGAGTTGGTGACGCCGAAACTGCTTCCCGTGGCGCCGTAAGCACTCACTGTCAGCATTTCGTACCCTGCCTGCCTGTTCATGTTCTCCTCCGCCTTCGTCTTCGCCCTCTCCTTGGTCGAATCATGTGAGACTTCACCGAACAACGTGGATTCGCCTTTTACAGTGTACAAGTATTCTGTCCCTTCCATCATCAAGACTTGGTCTCATTGGTCGATGGTGTTATTGGTCACGACTTTGGGTGGGAGCTGCGACCTGTTTATATATCAGTAGCTTCTCCGCGAGGCCATCCAACGTGCTTTTGGAGAGATGCTTATCGATATGTATGCCGAGGTCTACGATGATGGAGCCGTAGACGACGGCTGTCTCAAGACTCCGACTGTCTGAAGACGCTGACTGTCTCAAGACCAATGTCTGAAGACGCCGACTGTCTCAAGACGCCCAATGTCTCAAGACGCTGGCTGTCTGGAGGCGATGACTGTCTTGAGCCGATGACTGTCTTGAGACGATGGCTGGCTTGATACGATGGACGGTGGCTGTCTCAAGCCTCTGACTGTCTCAAGACTCCGACTATCTCAAGACTCCGACTATCTCAAGACTCCGACTATCTCAAGACTCCGACTATCTCAAGACTCCGACTATCTCAAGACTCCGACTATCTCAAGACTCCAACTATCTTAAGACGCTGGCTGTCTGGAGGCGATAGCTGTCTTGAGGCGATAGCTGTCTTGAGGTGATAGCTGTCTTGAGCCGATAACTATTTTGAGATGATGGCTGTCTTGAGATGATGGCTGTCTTGAGATGATGGCTAGCTTAAGATGATGTCTGGCTTAAGACGGAGGCTGGCTTAGGACGAAGGCTGTCTGAAGATAGAGACAGTCTGAAGACACTGGCTGCCTTAAGACGATGGCTGTCTCAAGACGCCGACTGTATAGCGAATAGTTCTTTACTGTGCTCTTGTCGAGCGTCATGTCCATGGCCTGGAGCATGGCATCATGGGAGCGGTATAACAAAAGACCATGAGCTCGGAGTTGCCAGTGATGGTGCCCCGAAACATACTCCTCGAGATCCTAGCCAGACTGTACAGCCCGTCATGTGTCTTCACTTTCCAGACTACGGGGGCGTGCAAGTCCGAGCCCCTGACGTTTGACATCATCATCTAGGCCACGTCGTTAGTTGTCATCCACGCTCATCATCATATTATCAGCGTCTAGCTTCTTCCTTCTTCGGGAGCCTCAACTCGGTCGAGATGCTATCCATGTAGATGGAGGTTCGACTCGACCTCACGTCCTTGTCCACGTCGTATGTCGAGTCCACGATGACGCTGCCGTTCGTCAGTATCCAGAAGATTCCGAACTAGCTATTCCTTAGGATTTGCCCTCTTGAACGTCGACCCAGGCCCTCGCACGTTGATCTATGGATAGTCATCTTCTCCAAGTCGAAGCCGACCGCTGTGGATCGCGATGACATCTGGGCTCAGCACCTCGATCATCTCGTAGACCGCCCTGCCGCGGGAGGCAGTCCTGGGGTCGGGGTTGTCAGCGTTCACATTCGGCATCGACTTTTTTGGGGTCGGGATGTTCAAGTCAGTATGCAACACGTGCAGACACAAAGCACAGAGTACGTAAGCGCCGCTTCGGCACGGTGACTCGGACTTCGGAAACCGGCACCCAGAAGATGGCGCAGGCCCACACCAAGGAGGTCCAGAGCTGGATGCTGGATATGCTAGCGGCTCGGCAGACTGGCGATCGTACATGACATCCAGTCACCTCAGATTCGGTTACGACAAGTTTGAAAAGCTCTCATTGGCAATCTAGCCTGGGGACTCTGCCAAGTCCGTACGCATGTCTCCATCCTGATCTTGACAACGTACAAGATAGCGCCGGGGTTGGCTCTCGGTGTCGGCCAAGAGGAACGGCGTCACGTGCGTCCTGGACGGCTTCCCTGCGTGGAGTAGGGTCTCGTTTGCATTGTCGAACTAAGGGAAGGACCTGACGAAGTTGCCGCACTCGAAGTCGCTGGCAGTGGCAAACAGCTTGACGTACTTCATCTGAAGCACGAGCTCGGCGTCGTTGGCAGGTTCACCAGAAGATGGGGTCGCAAAAGCTCCTGCAGCACCGCCTCCAGACGACAAAGGCCCGTGGCGGCAAAGAAAAGGCAAGGCGATGGGATGAATGGCCGTTTACGGATGGATCAGTACCTGCACCTTCCAAGGCAGTCTCAAGCACCAAGAAGCAAGACCATGGCAAAAAGGCAAGATAAGGCCCGATGAGGCAACTACGACTACGGCAGGTACCTACCTAAGGTAATTACCCAAAGGTACAGCGACAAGTGGAAAGAAGCAACAGGATGAACGTCGCTGGCTGGCAGGTCGGCCCTCCCATCAACCACGTACCTACCTTAGGG